TGCAGCGGGGTCTAATTACCTGTAGAAACCCTCCTTGTGCTCCCTCGGATACTTGGGAGATTTGCATAATTTTCTCCTTTCTTTTGAGAGATGGGAAAAAATACTAAGGTGGCATGGTAAACTTCCCTGTATGTGATTGCCCAGGAAGCAAACACCTTTTTCCTTTACCAAATAGTATATGAAATTCTCACTCTGCAGGAGTTAGGCTTCAGCAGTCACATGGTAGGTACCACCCTGAGCTCCTTACTCAGGTCGTCCTAGGGGCTTAGGGCTGGAGTAGAAGGCAGCCAGGTGACATCTGAGTCTAACTACAGTGGTTTTACAAGGCCCTGAGCAACCTTCAGCTATCTTAATGAATTATGGATGATAAAAAAATTATTCCTGACATTCACATGTGGACATGTTTGCTGTATCTTCAGAGGATAGGTTTTGGCGCAACCGCTCAATGTTAAACAGCTATTGCTGGAGGAACAAGCATTAGAAGCTGTTGCAATTTCATTATTTTGAGAGTATGATAAAACCTGACCAATTCATTGCCTCAATTTCATGAGAATTTTGTGGGTAATATATCATAATGCTGGATTAAAGACAAAGTTTTCTTTTTGCTATTGTCTTCCCTGCTGATATCCTTTACAGCGAGGGAGGGCCTAGGCTCTCAATTGATGCATAATAAAAAGCAAAAAACAACAACAATAACAACAAAAAATGTTTTAGTGAGTGGTACTGGTTGGAGAGTACTTACCCATGAACTAACATTTTGCTGTCCTCACCCTGGCCAGCAACCAATAGTCAGAGTTCTAACACAGGAGTAGGGAAGAGCAATCTTGTACTGATATTCATGGATGAAGACAGGAGGGTCCATGCTACTGCCAGTTGCTACTCTGTGCTTGTGGAATACCGATGTGGGAATTCTAGGAGATTTTGTGTAAGTCTTCACTTGGGAGACTGACATGTTCAAAACTAGTGGCTGGATGACTGTCTAGTGTCGGATGCCTTGGCTGCAAGGGAGAGCTAAGTAGACAGCTCCTGTTGAGTTTGGAGGCTGTTTGCATCCTACATCACCTTGAATGCCATGCCCCACCCTACTCCCACTCTCCCACCCCTGCCTGAGCTGGATGGATGCTGCAGGGCTGGAGGTGGTGCTGGCCTGCAGAGACAGGCCTCAACTCTATGGCTTCGTTCTTGTCCTTCACAGCCTTCCAACCCCAAAAACCTTGCCGTGGCTTCTTGCCTGCACATGCTAGCTACCTCTAAGGAAACTCTGGATAAATAAGGGTGTAGCTTGATTGACATGAACCTTGAGCAGTGGCTGGCAAAACAACATTACTGAAATGTGGGCTTCTATGTTTTATCTTGGCTTCATTTAAATTTCTCTGTATTATATATGTATGTACATGACTATATGAAAATCCACTGTTTTGTACATCTCCAGATGAAGTTCTGAAGCAGGCAACAAGAGCATCACAACACAGGGATGTATATGGTAGTCTAGATGGATCAGGCAAGCTACCAGAAAACAGTCTCTTGTTAATACAAATTCTGTTTCTACATTCACTGCTTTCACACCAGTTGCAGTGAAATATTCCCCTGAGTCAATAATGCACCCCATCAAACCCCTGCTTCCAACACACACACACACACACACACACACACACACACACATACCCCTCTTACAGAATGTACAAACTTAGGACAAAGTATCTGTCTTTGCTGGAACATGAATATCAAAGCTTCTCATTTTGTGTCTTATGCTTGCCTAACTATGCATGAGTCACTGAAGTCTCAAGTTTTCAAAGGGCTCAGTGAGGTGAAAAAGCAGAAGGGATGGTTTTCTGGATTAAATCTATGCGTTCCTCCCTCCCCTTAATCGTGGGGAATTTTCAGAGTGGACAGAATCTTCCTTTTGGAGGCCTTACTAGAATAATTGCTTCTTAACGTCATAGTCATAAAGAACTTTTAGGGAAAAGCCTGGTTTTTAATGAAATAGTAACTCACCACTGTTTGAAACAAGCTTAAAAACATAGGCATAAACATGCAACTGTGTTTCTGCAAACATGACATTTATTTCATGTTTGTATCTGATGGTGTAGCAGTACTTGCTTAGCTCTCTGCATAGTTAATTACACTCCATGCAAGTAAATTGCACAAATACTAGCATGAACCACAGGTGAGATATGAAATATAATTATGCATTGAGGTTGAATTTTGTTTTCTTCTGTTGCTGGTGAAAATCACTTCATTCTTTGTTGGTTACAAGGATCTTAGTCAATGTTTGGTTTTAATGATTGATCTGAGGACAAAAACCAATAAAGAATAAGAGAATTTTGGACACATTTATTTCAAGGAAATTAACACCCTTAGATGTTTGCTTGTTCAAAACACTTGTGGAAAATGTCATTTCTTCCAGAAATAAATAGAAATTTAAACACTTCCTGAATATATCTCATAAAAGAGAGAATATAAAATAGAAAGTATTTTTTCAAAATGTTACATGTGTTTTATCTAGTAATTCCACTTCTCAAAATTTACATTTTCCTGTAATCAGAGGGTTGAGCAAAAGTTAGGGACATATTGTTACTTATGATGGTGAAAAATCAGAACTGAAATAGGTATTTTAGAAAGCTAATGTATAACTTTTAATATGAAAGAATGATTAATCAAAGAAAATGCTCATTATATAGGTAAAAGAAGCAGTTTATAAATGTTACAGTCCAAATTGTGTTTTTTAATATGGGTAGAAAAATAGCAAGTCAAATGTTAGAATGCAGATTTCTTTTTGGAAAGAAATCATTATTGTATCTCCCCTTACCTCTTACAAGATTTTCTAGATTTCTATCATACATGTGTTAACTCTATCATCCAGATGCTTTCTTAAAGAAATGAAACTACCTATTTAAAAAAAAAAGATATAGTTTTTCTAAGATGCTAGTTTTTAAATAATCTTTCTTAGATTGGCCAATTGGTAATACCATTATTTTCTGTTTCTGTATATGTATTAATTGTGGATACTTGTTGTAGTGAATGTTCTCAAATCTTCAGCATTCACATTTACTTTTATTTTACCACATACCCTTTTCCCCCCTTAACATTTCCTTCTGATTCCTACACGACTAGCTACAGTAGCAACAAGGAAACCATCAATAAAATTTCCACCATTTTAAGTTTTTAGATATTCTCTTTGTGTTTTGTTTTGCTTTGTGTTTTATTTTGTTGCTTTGATCATTTTCCATTCTCTCTCTGTTAATCCCCCCTTCCTCTCTCCCTCCCTCTTTCTCTGTGTGTATCATTGTTGAGCATTTTGTTATTGGACTTCCAGATTGCTAATTTTGTAAATATGCTTCTATGATGAATGAGAATTTAACCTGGGTTGTGTCTACCTATTGCCTTTTGATAGCCCTGATGTTCCTTTACAAAAGGATCAATCTCTTTATTCTTGCCCCCTCTCAATTTGGGCTAATTTCGGCATAGGGCCTCATATTTTTCTGAAGCACAGAGATGTTGAATAAATAGTTTTATGGCAGTTGTCACAATTTGAGCCAAAAGTACGTTTAAGTTGATTGCCAGTGCCAATGGGGAAAACATTAGCATAGTCCACACAGAGCTGCTTTTGAGATCAAATGGAAAAACTGGAAAGGCAGGTCTACAACGGCTCCTTTGATAACAGATGATTTAAGGGGACCTTGGTGGAACAGTGAGATTACTGGGCAGGCTGACTCAACCCCTGGGTGTGACAAACAATAATGGAACAACTAGGGAAAAAATAACCCCAAAACCAATAACTGCCTTTTGGGTCAAGGCATGTCATAGGCCTACCTTCCGATAGCCCAAGAATAATTCCTAAGTGGAAGAGTGAATGTGAAAAATCTCCACGACATGATGCACAGAAGGAGATAAATCGGAGATTACTGTGTTGTTCTTTACGTAAGGGTTTTGTGTGTTTGGCTGTGTCTACCATACTAATGAGATAGATATAGCTATAGATACATACACAGAGGTAGATATAGATACTGATATATAGAAAAGCATTTTTACAAACTGCTTTCCCTTTCCAGTTTCATTTTTCCAAGATGTGTGAGGTGTCCTGTGTGGCACATTAGAAGCATTTTAGCCATAAAAATTGCAGAAAGAACAAAACTCCAGTATTCATAACCATCATAGAAGTCCGTTTTGAAGATATGTTTTCCTTAACTTTAAGGACCTTGCATCCCTCTGCTCAGCTTCTTCAAGATATATATTGTTTACTTTATCCTAGTAATGCATGCATATCTTTCAGAAAGTCAAGTAGTGCTGCAGGGTTCATGATGAGAAGCAGCAGTGCTGTGCTTTGCTTAGTCTGTTTATAACTTCTGCTTCCCAAAGGCAACCACTTCAATTCATTAAGTTGTCTGCCCATTTATCCTAATAAATGGTTGTCTCTCGATTTTTCAGTGATTTGATTCTGCAGGATGAGAATTTTACTCCCACACATATGCAATTTACCCCACCCCAACACAGTCTCCTTTTACTTCTTTCCCAATACTTTTAAGCAAAAAAAAAAAAAAATCAATAACACAAATTGTGATTTAAGAAGTATTCCCTATTTACCTAGCTAATTTTGCATAGTGCCTCTTCGTTCAGTGTCACAGGATGCCATGATTGTGGTTCCTGTACAACTTCTTGGTTTTTTTTTTTTTAGGATTCGTAATTTCTTTTGCTATTTTTCTTTCCTTTTTCTTATCCCTGCATTTCCTTCCTTTCCCTTTTTTCTCACCTGCTTTGGTGTCTTTGTAGAATGCTTCTGTGCTCCCCGACATTTGCCTGCTTCTAACACCTGCTTTCTTGCCCTATTCCTTAACTGACATCTTGAAGCTGCCCTTTGCCATCATTTCTGAATGGCTTTTCCACCCTCTTGTGCTACATTAGCTGATTTCAAGATCCCTCCCTCCTTCTTTGATTATGCCCTCACATTGATGGAACACATCTTCATGGTTTCTTGTGAAAGAATACATGAGAGATTTGCTTTCTAGACTCATTTTGTGAATGGTTCTAACATTACATTTGATTGATTATTTATATGATGCAGAATTAAAGTTGAGAAAATATATCCAGTTAGAATTTTGCAGACATTTCTTCTTAAACCACTGATTTTCCTACTATTGAAAAGGTCAGTGATGCTTGGATCCTGCATCCTACATGTGTAATTCATGGATTCACATCTGCTCTTTATCCCTGAAATTTTATCTTGAAGCAGCTCTTTTGCATTCACATAGTGAATGTAGTACTGTAACTTTTAAATGTATATCCTTTAAGATCTGTTTTATGTTTTGGCATTCTTCTCTTGATCATTTATTTTTTTCCCTTTTCTCCTTGTTCAATTTTCTAGAACTTCTATTCATATGAAGTCCCTTGTATTATGATCTAATTTTCCCCTATTTTCTATTTTCTTAACCATTTTCCTATTGTTCTACATTGTTTGATATTTCCTTCATTTTGTCCCCCAGACTTGATACTAGATATTTCCTTTTATTGATCATATTTAATTTCTGCAGGCTCTTTCTTATACTCTGACTTGCCAATCTAAGGATATTAATGATCATTTTCGGTTGTCTGTTCGCACTCCCTGATTTGCCTCTATTTTTCCTAAGTACCCTTCTATTCATGTTTCTCTTGTTCTCTTTTCTTTTATACTAGAAGCTGTTCTCTGCTCTGCTTTGGCAAGAGTGAGACACAATAAAGCTGGCTAGTTGCTGTATGTTCATAGAGAAGGCTGTAAATGTGATGCTTACTGTAAGGTGACTAGGTGACGGGGTTAGCGTCTGACCATTGCACTGGGTCACTTCCTGCAGATTGTTATGCCTTGGTCAGCCAGAACAGACCCTCCCAGGCTCATTGCTGAGGGTGGTAAATCTGGGTGCTAGTTTCTGGACTTGAGCAGGGGCAAGGAGCTAGCTGATGGTGATGAAGATGAGAGATGTCTCCGTGTAGACTATGTAGACTTTCATTTGATCTCCTTGTTGTGCTGTGAATTCTCTACTTGCCTCTGTCAGACCCGTGCCTTGGTCCATTTTCTGTTGCTCAGGTACCTGAGGCTGAGCAGATTGTGAAGAACAGAAGTGTACTTTAGTTTCTCAGTTCTGGTGCCTGCTTATACTCTGGTGAGGGCTCCATGGTCCATGGCATCATCACAGTGGTGGTGCATGAATGCAAGAAGAGGGCACCTGGCTGGACAGGAAGCCAGACACAAAAGTGCAGGGGCCAGACATACTCATTATTCTAATAAGAACAAACGTTCTGCCTCACTCTTTCCCAAAGGCAGCATCCCCAATGACCTACTTCCCGCGCATGAGGACCCCTGTTAAAGCTTTTATCACGCCCCTCATCACCACAGTGTGCAGCAAAGTTATTCAGCACAGGAACCCTTGTAAGACAAGCTACATCCTTACTGTAGCAGCAGCCTGGGAACCAGGAATTTAGACTGGTGACTCCTCTCTCCAAAGTAATGCACCTTCATTTCTTCACTCTGGGAAGGGTGTCAGCCACATCTCTTCATTCCACGGGACCTCAGGATGCCTCTGAGGCCAAAGTCACCAAAGTGCTTAAGACATTCTTCAGCTTAAACCACTTTGTGTGGATAGTTGGCTTCCCTTCTACGGGAATATCTGACTTTCTTTAGCTGCTAGTTCATTGACCACTTAGCCATTTCATTTTTTTTCTTCCAAAATTCTGTTGACATCACTTGATTGCTGTTACCACCTCCCATTTTTGTTCTTGAATGTTTCCATTATTTTCATTCCTTTCTTTCTGTTGTCCAGAGAGATTGGAAAAAGCCAAGATCAGTGTGGGCATTCACTCTACTAGTGGCCCCTGGAATAACTCAGCACTTTCCTGTTTGAATATTGAATGTTATCCAATGTTAAAATGTTTCTCTCACAGAAAATTCCACATTATTTGTTTATAAGACTTGGAACTTTAACACGGCAGATTTCAAAAACCTAAAGTATTATGTTAACATAAAGTATACAAAGGTCAAATGCATGTATTCAAAAGGACTGAAGTGTCAACATGATCATCATACTATTTGAGAACAAGAACTTGTGATTAAAGCCATTGATTCGTTTTCAGAATTTTGAAAATATTGACTAACTTCAAGGACTATAAAACAGTTTAGGTTCTATGACCCTGACTAAGCCGATCGTATCTGGCAACTCAGGTACAAGGTAAAATATTGATGGAACACTCATCACTGATGGAATGCAATCCCTCCCAGCCCAGGGAAATCAGTGGGCAGAAGAACTCCAGAAGTCCAGATAATAAATGAAATGTCCCTGCTGATAGGTAAAATAAATCATTTCCATGCGCATCCTGGCCTGTGTGGAAAATCCCGATTGATATTTCACTGCAGTCTTACAAATGCAAAGATTGTATTTCTAAGAGAAAATAACCTAAGTGAAAATGAAAAGTTTGAGGAAAGGAATTAGTTTTCTAATGGTATTGGGGGATAAAGGGAGGATTTTAATTGGAGCCCAATGAGAATTCTCTAAAAAGGATCTGTGTGTGTGTATTTTCTTTTTTCAGACAAGAACATTCTTGTTTACTAAGAAAGCTTATAACCCATCAGATAGTGGTTCTGAAACATTTATGGGCCAAAGAACCACCTGGGGAAAACGTTCAAGATGCAGGTAATCAGAATCCACTGCTAAATCCCTAGGTCTCGGATGAGGCCTGGGAATGTGCACTTCGATAAGCAGCACCACCCTCCACCCCCATACAAAAACACTAACACTGCTGTTTTCTGATAGAGAAATAGCACATAATACCAAACTGCAGCTAAAGCAGCCCACGAATGCTAAATACTTGTATCTGCTTAAATATGGCTATTACAGTACTGTTGATTTCCTTAGTAGGATAAAGCAGTACGTCATCCCACCTGCTCCCTGTCCTGCTAGCATGACAAGGGGTGGGCTGGCCCTTGTCTCTGCAGAAGATTGGTTGATCCGATTTCCTTCGCAGGACCCATAAAGGTAGTGCCTGTGTGTGTTGAGCTGCTCCCTCAAGGTCTGTAGAAGAGACTGCAGTGGAATGGGCAGTGTGTGCAACAAAGGCACCACAAGGCTTATCAGAGCAAGGCTGCCCTCTGTTAGTCAACAGGGTGACAGCTCACCATGTTCTGTGTTCTGATACATAGTTACCCTTAGAATGTGCCAGTGTTCCTGGGCTTTGAGGCCTTGCCTCAATCAGAGGCCCAGTTTCATTCCACTTCCCAAGTTGTCCTTTTCCCCCCTCTTTTCAAGGTGCCTTATCCTACACCCAGGGCCCCACTCAATGCTGTCTGGGGCTTCGTTCACCAGGAAGAGGGAGGGCCCAGCTCTCTCTTGTTTCCTGGCAGGAGTCTAAGGGTCTGACCAAATAAGGGAGTTGTGAAACTCAACCAGTCATGCTGCCATGTGTATTCAATCCTAGGATTCTGAATATTTAGCTCAAAGAGAGATACCAAAAAACAGAGAGGGTCTAGCAAGGGACAGCGTAGTCAAAAAGATAAGAAGTCCATATAAGGCAGCCCAAGGTAAGAGCCTCCCTATTAAATTCTACATTGAGGATCACTCAGCTGAGAGAAGGGAGAGGGACTGTACAGCCCAGATAGATCAAAGTAACTACCCAAGGGGAAGTAAGTTTGAGGACAGACCAGAATGAGTAAGAAACAGATGGACAGAGGTGGGAGAAACCCTCTGCTGGAGGCAGAGGATTGCTCCCAAAAGCCAGCAATTCAGATTCCAGCCTGTCTGGAGGGGAGGCCCTGGCCAGAGAAGAATGCAATGAGATTTGAATAGAACAATGAAGGTACTTTCTACTGTTTCAAGTGGGAGACAGGAGGAATCTCTATCTGGATGTGGCAATTAAAATGTAAGGGAGAAACAGGGAGAAGGGCATTGAGAGAAAGAAGTAAAGAACTTGGCGACTGTGTAACAAGATGAAAGGGAACAGAATCAACCATTGTGGTCATGAGTTTGACTATTAGGATGGTATAACAGACTCTGAAGTGATCAAATCTTACGTTCAGTTGGAAGCAATTCAAACACTTGTTTATGCAACTTATTATTTATCTTATTTTTTTGATTGATAGATCCCAACTGTTGAAGTATTGTTTCACACTCAGAAAAAGATATGAAAAAGTTCCTGGTTAAGTTTTTAAAGTTTCTGCCAGGCACACACATTTGACACTGAGTTAAGACGCTGCCTGGGGCTCACACATCCCATATCAGAATGCCTGGGTTGGAGTCCTGGTTCCACTCACAATTCCAGCTTTCTGCTCAGCACATCCTGGGAGGAAGCAGGTGATGGCGCAAGCCTGTAGGTCTCTGTCCACATTGGAGGTCCAGATTCCATTCTGGGTTCCCATCCTTGGCCTGACTAGCCCTGGCTCTCTTGTGCTCATTTGAGGGAGTAACTCAGCAGATAGAAGATCTTTTTCTCTGTCTTTCAGAAAAAATAAAAATTTAAACAAGAAATTTCGAACAGTTTAAAAATAACAAATTTTATGCTACACCAAACCACCATTAATCTGCCAATAACTACCTGTGTCCCTAAGTATTTATATTTCAACAAATTCATGTTATTTCTGTTATTAACAGGCTATATCTGTAGCAGGCTCTTTGTGCTTAATGTTTTTACTGTAACGGTTTACTTACTTATGTTTTATCTCTTTGGAGAGTGTCATCTCTTAAGATGGTCCTTATTTAAGTTTATGAGCGGAACACAGCCTAAGACCTATTATATCATCATTCATTAACCATATATAACAATCCTGGGCTTTCCTAGAGATTATAGAACTCTTTGGGAAAGAAAAGAACAAGCCTTTCCTATATAAAGGTCTTCTATTATATCTTGGTTCTTGGGCAAATTTCTACAGAATCAGCCTTCTTCATGACACCAAATGGTTGGCATCAAAGCAAGCTTATAAAGAATCAAAATGCTCCTCTTGCTAGTTGGATTTATAGTACATTGTCATGACTGCTGAATGTGATATGTAATTTACCTATGCATTTTGACTTAGCAGTAGGGACCCCAAATAGTAGCCAAACAATTAACTCCCATTTATTGAAATTGTGATTTTCCTAGGAGTTTTAGAAACATATCTGTGTTCTCTAATTGCTTTTTGATCTGAAATTTCGGGGCTTCTGTCTGCACTGGGATCTAGCTGGTTCATACAAAGCATGTTCTAATGGGCTTGGTGCCAAGCTGAAGTTTGCCAGCAGTGCAAGAAAAAAGATTATCTCTGGGCACAAAGAACAGTCTACTTCAGGTACCTGCTCTGATCATACGAACTCCTGACCAGCCTTCCAGGTACCTGCTGTGTGAGGTCAGTCCCTTGTGTGCCCTCCTGTGGACCCCATTGTGCTGTGCACACCCTGCACAGCCATGGATAGCATCCCTGAGTCCACATGGATGTTCCCTACCAAGCTCTGAGCACAGAGCAGAGAGTCAGCTTTTGATTCGGCGCATTAAGAATGATCAGATGTGTTGCTGAGTGGCACGGAATGCTCTTGCCACAGCAAGTGCAGGCCTGTCTTGGGAAGTTTTGGGGCTGAATGGTGATTGAAGGCCCTGGAATGCAAGACGGTTCACATTTAAATGTAGAATTGCATTCATGGCCGATCATGCTAGTTTCAATATCACCCATTAGTATGATTTTCATTAGCATGGCAGAAAAAGCCCAGAGACGAGACTCGTAAAATCATTTAACATTTGCAAGCAGTGACAGGTTTAGATGTTCCATGCTCTACAGCAGGACCATCTAATAAAAATACAACACAGGCTCCAAGGGTAAACCATGCAATTCTTGATATTTTTGTTGGCTGTGGTATGAAAGGCAAAAAGAAACTAATGAAGTTAATTTCAGTATTTTTGGTTGAATCCAACATATTAAACTTAGTGTCAGTATGTAATCAATAAGATCACTAATGGGTATTTTACATTCTTTTCTTCAGACCAACTGTTTGAGTTCTGAGTGCCTTTTAGACTCAGCCTGGCTCAGTTGGAAGAGCCATGCTTTAAGTGCCCAAGAACCCCATGTGGCCAGCAGCTACTGTGTTAGACAGTGCAATCTGCACACAAGCAAAAACTTTGCTGTATGATCAAGCAGGATGAGGAAGAAGTGAAGTAAAGTGATGTTTGCTCTTTGTGAGTCTCAGATTTTCTACAGCACCTTTGAAATGCTATGTTATTCTATACTGGACAGGTACTTGGGGGTTTCCTTGTCTCCTCCAGGGACCCTCCCCTGTGGGCACCTGGACACCCAGTTACTTTGATGCTCGTGTTACTAGCATTCACCTAGTATTCTTGGGCCACTGTCTACAGTGCCTCTCACATCCATATGTGCATGCTGTAGCCCCTGCTTCTCCAGAGAAAGCAATGCTTGCACACATCCCCTCTCTGTCATCAACATGTAGCTTTTGTGAGCAGCAGCTTTGGAGCTGCACCAGCATCCCGCGGCGAGGTCAGGAGCACCTGACCCCCTATTAATGCGTCAATGAGAGTGGCTGGTGCTCTGGGCTTGTTTTCTAAGGTTTTGATGAGCTTCATTAATTATGTTGAGAAAGAAAGGTGTGCAGCTGCAGAGGCGCCCACTTAGCTCCACGTGAACATGAATAATTGGACGGTTGGCAGGTGTTAAATTGGCGATCTAGCGAGAGAAACTCGTGGGTAAACACAATTGCCCCCAAACACCTCGATGCAACCATGGTCCTCTACTTGTGCACGACTCGTGCCACTTCCATCTTCCCTTGCCTTGCCCTCACCGACTGTCTGGCTGTGACACTGTATGAGGTCACTTGGTTGGGAGGTGGTGGAGTGTGGAACAGTAGGAGTTCTGACATCAGCAATTCATTACTTACAGGGCTTTGGGTGGGTTACATAACCTCTGTGACTTGTAGGTTTTCCCATAGAAAATGGGCATGATCTTAAAAAGATTGGTAGGACAATTCTGTGTGGAGTCGCTTATATACTTATATAATTACTACTAAAGCCACAGTGTGTAATAAGTTTGTCTTTAAATGAAAACTACTCATCATAGACTCCCTCATTCACACCTTTTAAAGCCTGTAGGAGAATCTAACTGTGCCTGCTTCAGTTTCCCCGCTTCATTCATTCAGCAGACATTGATTGCTCACCTGCAGTGTCCAGGCAATAAACATCGTGAGCTGGAAATACTGCAGAAGAAACATGTTGCATTTATGGGAGGCTCATGAGAGTAGGCACCACAAACATAATGGTATGGGTGTATTAACATCCTCTTTTCAATGCCAACTCTTAGTTACACTGCTGATTTAAGAAAACGAGCTTGTTTTTTCATCCTAGTTCTAACAAAATTATTCCTCCTACATGCACCTCCATTTAAAATAAAAATCACTAATTTATCATAGCTTAATGAGTAATATGAAAATGGCACCTTTTTCATTTGCTTATGTTAAATGATCTTAAATAAGGAAAACACTTCAAAGATGATCTCACCACTCCCCACCCTGACCTCAGAGGTATCTTTGAGTCAAAAGGCCTTACAATGGCCCAGTTACTAACAGATTCACATTATATGAGAAAAAAAAATCATGTGTCTTTGTTAAACCCTGCAAGTTTAAAAGGAACACGGGGTTTAATTCATCAGGGCATTTGTAACCATTTATCTTAGCTTTTTAAATATGACAAGCTGGCAAACAAACATTCTAAAACTGGGGAAATTATTTCAAGTGATTTTTCTTAAGGTTGGGGGATTTTTTTTAGATTGAAACAGTCCTTTCAGCAAACATGTTGACAGCTTAATTCCAAAATAAAGAAGGACTCTCTTGGAAAATGATTGGATTCGTTATCTATTGCTGTGTTGCAAATAACACCCCAAACTCAGCAGCTTCACACAGCCAATATGTCTCCTCCCACACTCTGCTGGAGGGAGTCCAGGAACAGTATAGCCAAGTGGCTCTGCTGCAGGGGTCCCAAGAGGCTATAGGCAGGTTGTCCCCCAGGGCTGCTGTCATCTGGAAGCCTGATTGGGGCTGGAGGTGGGCTTTGTGGATGACCCACTGTGGCAGCCTCCAGGGGCCTTGATGACATAGCAGTTGGCTCTCCCAGAGTGCGTGACTGTAGAGAGAGCAAGCCGGAAGCCACCGTACCTTTTCCATCTAGTACTGGCACACCCACACCTTCATGACTCCATTCATTAGAAGCCAAGTATTGGGGGTCCAGTCACACTCCATGGGAGGAGAACTGAATTCCTGTTTCTGAAGGGAGTGTCAGAGATGTGCAGACACATCTGTGATGCCATAATTCTCACAAATAGCTGTTAACTTTGGAAAGTGTGGATGGGAGGAGCCAAACTGGCCCTGATGAGCAGATGTGGTTGGGAAAGGAGTGCTGGGTGAGTGGAGGGAGGAAGCTACAAGCTCCAGCTCAACACACCTCTGCTCTCACAGAGCAACCTCAGACCTGGTCCCAGGGCAGAGATGTAGTGGGATCCTCTGGGCATGCTCTCATTTACACTAAGACCTACTTGTTCTTGGTACCCATTTCCATTTCTGCTTCAGAATGCATTCCCTTGCCTTTTTACTTGGAGACTTCTCTTAATCTGTGCTCTCTGTCTTATATAGCTGTCTCCCAGCAAGCAGGACCTGAGGCTGCAGTAGATGCAGCCCACCTCTACCCACACACCTTGGCATTCATTCAGCCTGTCCCGCCATTCCCCTGCTTTCCATTTCACACTTGGGTGCTGCCCTGAGTACCTGAAACTCGCTGTGAGTAAGGCTTTCAGGGGCAGAGCCCTCAGGCCCTGGCCACTGAGTCCTTTCTCCCAGCATGTGTGTCATTTCAGCAAGATGCATGCATACAACTCCCCTACAGCCTTCAGGCCTTTCTTTTCCAGTTCCTTCAAATGTGAATCACCCAGCAACATTTACTGATGACGCAGTTGCATGCAAAGTTGTGTTCTTGTTGCTGTGAGCATCACAAAGCAAGTAAAAACCCTGATCCCTGCTTCTATTAAAAGTTGAATTTGGAAAGACCTAAATAATAATAGCATACAGTATAGTCAACAGAGTGACATGTTGTGCAAGTTAGAATGATCACATTCACAGGTTATTGCTTGTACATCTTTTCATTGAGCAAAACCAGCCAGTTGCTTTCTGGACTCAGTAAGTGCACCTGCCTTGACAAGAACCAGTGTGTGTTTGATTGACTTGGTAGTATTGCACATCTAGGGAAGCAGGCTTTTAGAGCCAAAACAAATAAATAAAACATTTGCCAATCATCTGTAGCCCCCTCCCTTAAAAAAAGATATAGCCTCATTAATGTGATAAATAATTAGGTGCCACTGGTAACTAAAATATAAGAGAAGGATAATTTACGAATGTTCTGACTTTTCTCATTTTCTCAAAGGTTTCAAGCATCAGATTTGATTTACTTTATCCGTAATGGGTGGCTGTTCAGAAGGGGATGAGAGAACTGTGGGCTGTGAAGTGTTGACCAACAACAAAAAGTGCTGGCTGAGGTGTAGCAATAGAAGGGGCCAGGGAGAATGACTTGATGCGGGGAGGAAGCCCCTCCGAGCTTGTTATTAAGATCTCACTTGTGATACAAGAAGTCATGGGTAGTCATTGTGGGTTTCTGAAAAGAGCAGAGTCCTATCTTGATTGTAGTGATTGGCAGGATAGACACCAGGAAACAGCACAAAATAATTAGGACCTGACTGCTTGTGACCATGGAACCAGATCCAAGGAAAAAGACGAGTGTGGTTAAAGTGACCATAGGCAGGAGTCAGAACATGAAAAGAAGGACTGGGGTCAAATCTGGTTAGCAAACTGTGGATCTGCTCTCTGAGGAAAGGCGTGGTTGACAGGGAAAGAAGGAATCCACCAAAGGGGGAAAGTCACCCCAGTATTTGGATTAATTGTCATTTGGGTCATTCAATTGAAGTTCTCTTTCTGTGGAGAAATGAGAATATGAAAATATGAATTTTGGGTTCCTTCACATCTAGATGGTAGTAGAAAACATGAATGGATGAAACAGGTCTCAAATGATGTTGTACTTGAAAATAGGATATATATGTATGTATATATATGTATATATATATATTCCTTATATGTATATATAAGAAATATGTATATATGTATGTATGGAGAGAGACTAGTGTCGGTCTGGAGATGGCTAGAATGAATAACTGAAAAATAATTATTAAATGAATGCTATGGGTATATAATGTGAGTATATACAATGGTCTTCAGATAATGTGTGAAATGTAAATTATAAAAACTGCATACATTTCAAATTATCTTGTAAGAAAATCTGCTTAATTTTCAATCCAAGTTTTTCACAAACTTTTTCAAGTATGATTTTATATATGTGTACATATGAATATATGTGTATGTATATACAGGCATATATTCACATCCATCTATTTGAAAAATGTCTGAAAACCTTTCTGTCATCATTACATTAAGCCTAGTTAATTTCTATTATGGAATTATAAATTTTTTTTCTTTCTCTCTCTGTTTATCTGAATTTCCTGTTTTTCTAGTTGAACATATATTACTGTTTACATGTCTTCATGCAGATAAAGCATTTTAAATCCTTGATGACATGAAAGAGTTGAGTCCGTGCTCCCCATGCAGGGGGCTCAGTTTAGTTCCGGGATCCTAGAGTGAGCCTAGCCCAGTCTTGGCTCTTGTTGGCATTTGGAGATGTAAACCATGGAATGGAGAATCTGTGACTGCCTCTCTTTCTTTACCTCTCTGTTTCTCTAGCTTTGAAATGGGAAGGAAAAGAGGAAGGGAGGGATGGGTAGATGGAAGCAAGAGGGAGGGAGGGAAGAAAGGAAGGAAGGAAGGAAGGAAGGAAGGAAGGAAGGAAGGAAGGAAGGAAGGAAGGAAGGAAGGAAGGAAGGAAGGAAGGAGGGAGGGAAGGAAGGAAGGAAGGAGGGAGGGAGGGAGGGAAGGAAGGAAGGAAGAAAGGAAGGAAGGAAGGAAGGAAGGAAGGAAGGAAGGAAGGAAGGAAGGAAGGAAGGAAGGAAGGAAGAAAGGAAGGAAGGAAGGAAGGAAGGAAGGAAGGAAGGAAGGAAGGAAGGAAGGAGTAGAATTTTCAGGATCAGAACTTGGAATAAGAGAAAGTCATGAAATAATGATCATAAGATGAGTAGACTGAGACCCTAATAGCTATGTGATTGATTTTTAGACTTCCAGTCTAAGAGTAGGAATTTTCTAAAGGTAGAACTTGAAAATATGTATGTCAAAGAGAAAAATGAAAGTATCTTCATCTTCCAGAACCTGAATTAATCCAAAGAACTGATTCTGAACCACAGGAAACTTTGTTCCTATCTCCTCCAGTGTACATTCGGCAACATCTAGAGATGTTTTTCCTGTAACAACCAGAAATAGGAGGGACATTGAGGCTACTACTGGCATCTATTATATGAAAGCCAGAGATCCTGCTGAAACCACTGATTAGACCAGGAAAGACCCTCCAAGCAAAACATTGTCTACTGCAAAATGTCTTCATAGCACTGAGGTTAGGACAGTCTGGTCAAAAGTGAGACTATATAAAAGCCGCCATCCATGGAATGCTCTCAGTGTGCCAAGAACTTGGTGTGGATGCTTTGATTCCTTGTTCAAATGACCTTGAACTAGCCTGGAAATTTAAATTATCTGTTAGAGGCTACACAACAAGTAAGCACTAGAGCTAAAAACCAAAGTGCATGTGAATACAAACTTGAGCTCTTAAATGCTCGACTGTTTTGCCTGCGTGTTGTCAAGCACAGAACAAAATGCACAAGAAACCATTGGAAGAGCACAGACAACTTCTGCTCTTATTTTTTTCTACCTTTGCCAGGACAGTGGATTCTAAGCTTCAGAGTCACTTTTAACTTCTAAAGATGTGATAGGTGGTGAAGCAAATTGCAATACTGTCTTATGCATCTAGCCCTTTAACCTCCCCTCCACCCCATATTTCCCATAATGTTTATTTCTTAACGAATATTCTGTGCTTTTTGTTGGGGTTTGGGAGTGGCATTTGGGTGGTTGTGTAAACAGCTGCTGGTGTATTTCTGCTTTGTAGTCCTATGAGTCATGGAGTAGCAACCTGAACGTGTATGAAAATTAACTGCTAATTCTATTTTGGCAGTGACATCGGCAGATTTTTTTTACACTGTTTTTCTCCAACCTCCTAGATTCTTTTCACTCCTGTCTCTGGATAAAGATTTGTTGTCTGCAGTATCCTACAGTTACCTCAGTCTTGTCATTTTCACTGAGGAGACTGCACGTTAGAAAGCAATAATTGTATTCCTTTTAGAGCATGAACTTCCTGGGGTCTTTAAAAACAAAGATCTTGAACTTCATGGGTCTAATTGATCTGCATATCAACTGGGAAGGAAAGGTAGAGTTCTCCATTATCATGGGCATACACATGTCTTTGCTCCACTGCCCACACTCACCTCTTCATTTCTAGAAATTGGGATTTTTGAAGTATTTGGCCTTAGGGGCAGGCATTGTCGCATAGCAGGTTAAGTTGCCACTTAGGACATCCACATCCACATTCCATAACAGGGTGCCTGTTCTCAGTCCCAGCTACTCTGTTCAGTTTCCTGCTAATACACTCGGGAAAGCAAGAGATAATGCCCTAAGTCCTTGGGTTCCTCCCATCTACATGGGAGGCACGGGTTGAGTCCCTGGCTCCTGACTCAGCCCAACCTCGCCCCAGCTATTGTTGGTATTTCAGAAGAGACTCTGAAGGAAAAGTAACAACTAACTGTGTGTGTGAAAGTGTGTGTGTCTTTCTTCCTCTCTGTCATTCCATGTCACTCCGTTTTTTAATACTTAAATAAACCTAATTTTTAAAAAAGGAATTGTGTTTTAAATACATTAAACTGCTACAGAAATTTGGAACAGAGCAATCAGGGTTTTCAATCCATCTTCTCTTTGCTGTGGCTCCCAGACAAATTTGGGATTAAGATAATTCATTGTAATGGTTGACATGCACAAGAAGCACCATAACACATTCCAGAGGTTCCACCCATTTCTGAGGCTCCCTTTGGATCAGACAAGATTATTTTAAAAAATAAAATGTCAGCATAATAAATAAACTTGGGAAGGAAATTTGGATAAACCAATGCACAGGAGAAGATTTATTTCAGAATTCTTTTCCTGTGATTTGTATTGTGAGTATTGAATTTCTTTTCAATACCAATGTTGCCATTCTTGGGGATGGAGAATTTGTAACCTTTATCCTGTTTTGATTTTTAATGGGAAATTTTACCAATTTATTATTTTTGCACATCCCACTTCTTTAGACATGATACTGTAAAAACAAAATACCACCATATTTCAAGTCAGTCCAATGCTAGAAGTACTGTTCTAGATGACACCATTTCTTTGTTTAGCCTATGGCAGCAAAAATTGTCATAAAAATATAATTATTTCTATTTACATTTGAGAAGACTGAGACTTAAAAAGGTCAGGTAACATTTTTTTCCCTTAAGGACAAGTGGAGATTTGAACTCCAAGTCCTTTGAGCCTTTTGAAATTAGGGCCAGGTAACACTTTACTTCTGGGCAGAGCTGCCTTCCAGGTAACATAGTAAACATGCATTTCAATTTCCTTTTTTTTTTTTAAGAGCTAACAGCACTTTTACATATTAATTTACTCGCATAGTATCAAGTTAGGTAGCTAAATGCTATGAATTCATAATGTAAAATGAATCTTGCATGATCCTGCCACCAGCCTTCCATATATATCCAACATCAACAGTGTTGTCTGCGAGTTCCTACTAAATCTGTAGATGGTATGACTTGATGACTGCACACAGAGTATTACTTGTGCAGCTTGCACAGTTGACTGCACAATCACCATCTTCCTAAATATACCCTAAGTGTAATCAGATAGGCAGAAAACATATCCAAAATTTTGACTGAAAAGTATGATTGCTTCACACACACACACACACACTTTACCCTTTCCTGTAGTGTCAAACACAGCCCTGGATACAAAATAAATGCTTTATAAAAGCTTGACAACTTGGGCTTATCTCTGGAAGAAGGTGAAGGGAAAGAATTCCATCCCAGGAGAGTAATTATGGCACCTGCAAGCCACAGCCCAGTCCACTGATTTTTGTATAAGCCACAGGCAGCACAGGTCACCCCTTAGGGGCTGTAAAAAGCAGTGAGGAATAGTGTACTCAACAGTAGGTGGCTTTCTTTGGAATCCCCCACTTGCCAGCTATGGGGTCTTTAGCAAGTATCATCTACACTGTAATTCATACGTATTTCTCAACTTAGCTTTCTCATCTGTGAAATGAAAAAAATAAAAATAACACAATATATATTAATTGACTTAATATGATCATTATTGTCATTATTATTTTAGGAAGGGCATGAGAGAGTCAGAAACCATTTTGTTGAAACATTTTGAAATGTGGAAGGAAACAGATCCTGAGTCTGACCTCTCATGTGATGCTCATTAACTGTGCACCAGGGGCAGGTCTCTGCAGGTCCTCCCCTGGCTGTGTGACGTGACAGTGTCCCCCTTGGAGAAAGGCAAGTGTTCACTATGTAACAGCCGCTCAATAAATGATAGTTCCTTGTTGTTATTGGTTGAAAGTCAGAGTTAGAGACGAAGAGGCAGAGAGACAGAGATCTGTGTTTGCTGCCTCACGCCTGAAGTGGTCACAATGGCCAGAGCTCAGTGAGGCCAAAGCCAGGAGCTTCATCTGGGTCTGCTCAAGCACTTGGGCCAGCCTCTGCTGGCTTTTCTCAGACCATTAATAGGGAGCTGCATCAGAAGTGGAGGAGCCAGGATGTGAACCAGTACCCACATAAGATACTGGCATCTCAGGTGGCAGATTTACTGGCTATGCCACAATGTCAGCACAGACAAATGGTAGCTTCAGACGATGATTTCTACCTTCCAAAGCTGGTGAATTTTTTTTTCTTAAACTCTTAGATCACTTCTGTGTACCCACTAGGCCCCTGGGCTTTATCATTCTTTCTAAGCAGTGCATCCTTTTGAGAACACAATGAAAACTCAAGCTGTGAGATCAGAAAAATGCAAACAAAGGTGGCTGCAATTGCAGGGATTCACAGCCTCCCAGGTTAGGATTCCCTGGTGCAACTCAAAAAATTAAGACTATACAGCAACCTGAATGCATGGGTATTGGCTTTGAAAAAGGATTTGTTGTACTATTCCCACTGCAACATTCCTGCTATCATTACAATCCGATTCCATGGACTAGAATGCACTGGATTCAGAACATTTCAAGAGCACATTTATTTCATTAACAGAGGCAAGCCTGTTTTAACAAAGCATATTTATCAAATGCCTATTATGTGCCTAATAAGGTGGTGGGTGTTACGGGCAACAAAAGGCACTTAACATGTGGTCTCTGCCCTCTGCGTTTTCTGTCTAATTGGAGAGGCAAGTGAACAAGGCAGTAGGAGATGTATTAGTGCTATATGCTGATATAATCAAGTACTAAATTGTGTATGCTTGTGTGGGTGGGCGCACAAGCCTCACATATCATTCTCTGACCTTGAATTGTACACAAATCATTAGCGTCAAACCGGAATCGCAAGCCGCTCCCCCACCCCTCATCCTTGCTTGGCCAACTTCCACCATAGCCTCTCCCTCTCTGTCTGTAGCGTGATTTAAAAAAAAAAGAGGGGTGAACTAATCCAGTGAGGAAGAGAGAAAAATCAATGAAAGAAAAAGGAGGGCACGTGGCAGTGTGTGGTTGGCACAGCAGCCTGGAGCCTCTGTGGGCCCAGGGTCCGACCAGGAGCAGCCAAACTCTAGGAAAACCCCTTTGGAGGGGACACGTAGCAGCTTTTGATCCTCGGTTACAAATTCAGTCAATGACTGAATTGGAAGAGCAGGCGGCAGTGCGCAGAGGCCTGGCTGTTGGGAATGGAGGCTCACCCCCCCACCTTCCCCAGCCCACCACAAGCCCAAAGGTTGTGCTGCATTCCCCCTGAACTGGTATGTGAGCATGAGAGAAAGGCCTGCTGTTAACCTGAACGGGCCCAAGCCAGAAGATGCGTATAGGCCTGCATACCACATGACTGGTGGTCGGTCATTACACGAGGGGCTAACAAACTGTTAAGTAAAACATGTTCTAGAGGCCACCTTAAACAAGTGCAGCTTTCCAGAAACTGGGAAAGGCCGTTTGACTGCAGAATTCTTGCCTCATCAAGGAGCTTCTATGACTCAACTCCCCCACAGCACGCAGCTTTCTTTGTGTCCTTGCTGTGCCCTGCATCCCAGGGTGCCTCCCTCACCTCAGATATCCCTGTGCTCTCCCTTGGTCACTTTCTGGGCTTACAGATGCACACAGTTATAAGGAAATAAAGCCAAGGGCCTATAGGGAGGGAACATTGGGTTCCAGGTGTGCAGAGCACAATGTGGACTTGGGGACATAGCCCTCACCATGGCCCCATAAGACTGCTTGTCAGGATCAGGGTTGATGTGGCCCTACCAGGACCCCACCAGGCCGTCTGAAGCTGGCAGCCTGGGCTGAGGCCCCATCAACACCCTTAGCTCAGAAAAGAAAAGCAAGGAGAAGATCACAGCCAAGCCACTAAGCCTGCTCTGTTCGTTGCTGAGAGTCTGTTGGAAGCGCAAAATGGGATGGAAGAGTAGCTGATGCGAAGAAAGGATGAAGGCTCAACACTGGCCCCCTCCACACAGATAAGCACACTTAATTTATTGTGTTTTAGTTAGAGAACAAATAAAAAAATAAAAGCACCCTGCTTTTACAAAGGCCAAAGGGCCCTATAATTCAGTGACAAGGGATATGAAAGGCATAAGAATGATGGTTCTGGAGCTAAAAGCAGGCATAGTGAGGACTTGCCTCCCAAGGTCACCTGTGCCCTCCTGAGGCTGCACCTTCAACTTTGTCTGCTGCAGTCCAGGCCCCAGACTGCTCAGGCAGAAACATTCCAGCTTCTTGTGTGCCCCAGAAGACCCAATTGAAGGCTGATTGCAATTTTCCAAGGAGAAAAACAACCTTTATTTGGAAAACAACGTTTCTTTGAATTAGAACTAAAGCATTTCGTTGAATTTTCAGCTATACTGAGAGAGGACAGTTGCAACTTTTTTTAAACATTGAGTTCTTTCTATGTTTGAAAGGCAGACAAAATTGGGGAGGGGGAGGGACTGAAGGAGGATGTTGTGTTGGATCCTCAGGTCCACTCCCAGATGGCTGCAAAAGCCAGGTCTGAGTCACCAGGCTAAAGCTAGGGACCAGAAACTCCATCCAGGTCTTCCACATGAGTATCAGAGGGCCAGCTACATGCCCCCCCCTTTTTTTTTGCTGCATTCTCAGGCACATTAGCAGGGAGCTAGAGCAGAAGTGGAGCAGCTGGGATTCAAAGTGCCTCTCTGGTGTGGTATATTGACATTAGGCAACAGCTTAACTCATTGTGCCACGATGTTGCCTCCAAAAAGACATTTTTAATTTTTCTCAAATGTACTTTGTAGAGTTGAAGTAAATGCTATTGAAATTTCAACATTATGACTTGCCTTTATTTCATAAATCCTTTGTTTTAGAAATAACATACTTGAATAACTTAAAAAAGAAAAATATGATTAATAAGTGAAGTTTATGGTAAAAAGCAAGAAGCAACTTTGCATTATTTGTCCAAAAAGTATTTTTATCCGTATTTAACTTTATCGTTAGTCAGATTAGTAGGTGGGGAATTTAAGCTTCTTTGAAGGTTCCTTAACCCTACCTTACATGATCTACTTTATTCCCAAGCTGTTGACGGCAATTCCAAGAAGTCAGGAT